GTAGAAACAAGACTGATCCTGCCTCCCAGGAATACGAGCATCTCTAGAACAAAGTTACAAGGAAAGGGATAATTAAAGAGAACATTCAAAATAATAATGTAACTGAGAAGCATATAACAGAATAATGATATTGAGAATATAATTATCAAACAGTTCTGTCAAAAATGCTTTAATAAGCATCTACAGGAGAGCCTGATCTTTCACAGTAGAATAACATTTTAATTCCTGACAAAATGACTGAAATGGTACTAAGAAATCATTCTTATGGGCAAATGCCAATTTAGAACAGGACTAGAGCCTTGTGCTTAATCAGAAGTGGCTGACACAAAGACATTTAGTAAGAAATTACTTCTCTGTTTTCTTCTCAGCCCCTACCTACAACTGATGTAACAGAAGTTCACATATGGTCTGGTGTTTGGTGGAAGTTTTATACATAAAAAAGGGATCTAGAGTGGTTGTGAAGGTTCCTCACTCCCCACGTTGTTCAAAATTCAGCTGGACACCTTTATAACTATGGATGGGTACAGGTGTCCTTTTAGGATGCAAACTGTATTAAGGTAGGAAAATTTACTTTCTTCAGGTAGGTGAAGACAAATTTTCCAAGATAAAAATGGTATCAAGAAAGGGTTAAGGACTCTCACCATCTTTGCATACTGCCTATACAGACACTATACTCACCCTGTCCATAATACACCTAAGCTGTTTAAGTCTAATAACATTTTCCTAGAGTCAAGCTCCTACATTTCATCCTGGTTTAGCTGAGGAGCAGTGCTGCACTTCTGTAGTTACTTCTTCAACAATGCGCTTACCAAAATACCGCCTAAAACGTTCTGAGGAAATACACACCCAAGCCTGACTGCTGAAAGGATTAAGTGCCCCAGCCAGAATATCTTTTTGGGTCATAGTCCTGAAAACTCTGTTCCATCAGCTGTGTAATTGCCCACCCCCACATGCAGTAGATATTAAACCAAGGTTTTGATATCCTACAGGCCATCTCCAAACACACGTTATCAACATAAACCAAAAATTAGTTATGTCCTAAGAGGCAAATTGTGTTTACTTCCCTAACTTATGAAATTTAAGATCTTAAAATAGGAGGAAACTCAGTAAGTCCTAGACATACTTTGTCACAGAAATGTTCTAGAAGCAACTGCCCAGAGGCATCAAGACCCCTCTGCAAACCTAGCCGTCCATCCTTGCGCTTGCTTTACAGACCACACACAAACGCAGCAGAAGAAACAACCTAAAAATCATTTCTGTGAGTTGAACAGGAATGCTCACATAATCACTGGAAATGCTCTTAATTGGTGTGGCTCAGTGGTGCATTTCAGAGCTGTTAGATCCTCTGCCACTGTGGAACTCTTTTCATGTCCTGGCAATCACAGCCCAGCCAGCAGTTTGTTTATCATATTCAGTATGAGTTTCCGGAACTCCAACAAAGTGGTATTTACTCCGAGGCAGGGAAGACTGCAGTAATCCAATAAGTTCTCATTAGCCTAAAATGCAGAAACATCTGCTGAGGTCATGAGCCGCTTGCTTGCTGTTGATGAGGAAAGAATCAGCTCCATTTGAAACTAGTGTGAACAAAGAATTGTAGGGTTGGGGGTTGGTGGTGAAGGGACAAACGGGCCTCGATTATCTCCTGGGCTGCAGCTCCCCTCTAGAGCACCACAGGCAAAAGGGATGCTCCCTTACGTTGACCCTGGTGACCCTATCACAGAGAGCACAGCAACTCCAGCAAAAAATGCTTTGACTCAGCCCCCCTGAGCTGGTGGTCAAAACACTCAGGCAACACCCACATAACTGAAAAGAACGTGGTCAGAGCTCCCCAAGAAATACCAGAGCCCAGGCAGGGCAACCCGTGCAGCGCAAACCCCATTCAAAGTCTTTGCCAATCACTTTTTAGATCATTTTGCAGGGGAGGAATGCTTCCATTTCTGTGCTCCCCCCTCCTCACCCAGGCTCTCAGACCTAGTTGGCTCATTACACAATTGCTCTGTTTTCAGACAAAAAAGCTGCACCACACCCCCCAAAAAAAGGTGCACCTTGGGACACACAAATGTTAACGATTGGTCAAGAAGAACTTATGGCCTAAGAGATAAACACATAGGTGCTCAGTACTGCCCAAGTTCACACAGAACATTATAAACATTGATCCAAGTTACAGAGGGAGGCACTATTAATTCTATGTTAAAAACAAAACAAAGAAAACCCTCCAAAAAGGGCTCTTCAAATTCAGGTTATCAATCTCTTAATTTGTTTAGGACTCCAACTAGATTCAGAGCATGTGACACTGTCAGAAAATATGTGGAAAATACAAAATAAGTGGTGTCACATCTGTTTAGCTCCTGCTCCAGTGATTTTGCTGTTCTCTGTTGCAGTTGTTTGTACAGTGCTAAGTAAGACAGCATCTAATTCTGTGGCAGTTTCAAGGTGGAGGAGCCTAAAACACTTCTGCAGAGAGCCAAGCCAGAGCCACTTTGAAAGAATATTCAGGAAAGTCAAGATGAAAAAGTCTCATTTCAAAACAGTTTAACCCCCTTTCCTGACGAGCTGCTTTATCGAACACTTGTTCTTCCATGTGCACAAAGAATTACACAAGTGTTCAATTTAAGGAAAAGAATGACCAGAATGCTCAAACCAATGCTGTGATTCTTCTGAAACAATGAGTGCACGTCCCCAAGCACTTCATTGTTTTGTACTGCAGTTGGGCTTTAGCTCCAGGACTCCCCCTTTGCCTTGGGCTTGTTGTACAGCCAAGGACCGCCACCACCAGCAGCAAGGATGAACTGCATCCTCAGACTGAGAGCCTTTCATTGTGGTTCCAGCAAGCAGAACCTTTCTCCATCACCCTGCTTCAGGGAGAAGTAATAGCATTCCACCTCACTTTACAGTGAAAATGTGCATTGCTGTGGTTGCTTAAGTAATATTTAGTTGAGTATATATACACACACACCCCTACCTCGAGAATGGGCATCACTTGACTGAGGAGGATGGGTTTAATTTAAGAGTATTTAATAAAAAAACTTAGACCAGCAATGGGAACTACCATCAGGAAATCCGAGGAAAGGCATTCTGACTTGTGTGTATGCGCAGAGACAGAACTATGAAGACACTAGAAACTTCATGCTCTTTTTAATTTCTGCCCTCTCTTTAAGAAGACCCCTCTTAACTTTCTCAGTCTCAGCACAACACACGATAAGAAGGTTGAAGGCATGAGGACACACCTCCTAGGAATTATTCAAACCCACAAAAACAGTTATTCGACCAGGAGATTCATCATAAAGGAGCCTTTCTACCGAGATCTCCATCCACCAAAAAGACTACCAATTTGCCGCTGACCTATGACTTGACTGCTTAGCAAAGTTCCCCATCCAGCGGCCAACTTGGTAGGTGCAGCTCACGCTCCTGATGCAGAGCACGATCCTGCTGTGCACAGCACCTATGGCTCACGGACTGAATGGCAGCACACACAGGCAAATCTATTCGCTGCAGTTCATCGAACACGTTTGAGGAAGAAATAACAGATGAAGATCTTAAAACAACTCAGTGCTCTCTTACTGGCTCATAGAGGTGATGCTGACAAAAAAACCCTACACTGACACCAATACTGTATATGAGGATGGCCTTAATAGTTTGTTATATGCCGACTTCTCAGCCAGTCCACTGCACATATCACTGATCTCGTTCCTACAGCTTAATTTCCTCCTAATTTTTAATACAAGGAGACAAGAATCTAGTTAGACTCTTAGTAATACCAAGAAGAAAGCCTGAATAGCACTTTAAGGAGCGCAAGGAAAATGCTCCAAGTATTTTTTCAGCATGCCAAAAGTCTTTGTAGACACAGCTTAAGCCAGAAACTACCATGTAGACAATACAGAGCAGAAGTTTTGAAAAAACATCAGAGAAAGAGGTTCCACAGGTGAAAAATACAGGATACAGCATGTCTTTCAGAGAAAAATGCATTCCATGTATAAAAATGGGAAGTATATTGAAAAAGCCTGCCGCATCTGGCACATATGTCCGTAGCAGAGCACGTTCTTTCTCAGGCACTTACTCAGCAGTTAGGTTTGAGGTTTCTCTCCACATTCACTCTTCTGGCCTCAGCACTCTGGGTGCCAGTAAGTCATAGCTTGCCACTGACACCGGTTAGTGCCTGTAGGTCCATCCCTGCACATGTTGTGTAGTATTAGCCCTGTGTAAGGCTAGATGGAAACAAAAGCTTCTGTAGGAGATCAGGGAAGATATTCAAACATTAAGGCTATTGAAGTAGCAGTGGAAAATAGTTTTTATTATCAAAAAAATGAAGTCCTTAAAGAGAAAGTGTCAGGTTAATACAAAAGCATTTGATTTTAGAAGTTTTTTTCCAAAACAATTAGGCAACAAGTTACAAAAACTTTTCACTTGTTACAAGTGATCAGGCTCCTTCCAATCGTCTGCCTCATTACTTACTCCTCAGTAGCTTATCCTCTCAGAAAATCCAACTATAAGGGACAATTAAGAGTTCCTCCAGAGGCTGCTCACCGAGTGACCAACCAGATCCTTCCGATGAGATCGGCAAACGTGCAGTACTACCTAAGCAATTCCAGATCTACATTCTGACGTGCTGCCCTCTACGGAACACTACTTCAAAAGAGATGCAAATCACTGCACTTGAAGCCAGTTCCAAGAAAGTATACACCAAGAGGTTTAAGAATACATAAGGTCATATTTGCCAATAATAACACTTATTATTTACCTTTCAGTACTGTTGAGGCAGAGTGACAAGAAAGTCACATAAATTCTTGTTAATAGAAAAGATGTCTCCCTGTGGGACAGCATGCAGAAGAAATCCCCATTTTTTTTATTAGTAAGCATACATGCTGCTGGTCTCACATTCCGCTATAACTGAAAATTTGAACAATTTATATGGTCATAGGAGCAGTGAAGATAACAAGTCTGCTGGGACTAATTTAGTACCCAGCTGTCGGTAAAAACAACACACAAACTATTTCAAGTACCAGTGTTTCACAACATCTAGTCCATAATTCTCTTCGCATATTCTTCGGTTACGCAGAGAAACTTCTCTACTAACTTCAAACGACAGGTTCTGTACGTGCGTGAAGCTCCTGGAACAAGTGAAGCAAGCTAAATCAGTTACTCTAGAAGATAACCACCACTGCTTAAGCACAAAGGCTATGTGCCTGGACATTCCCACCATCCTCCTACCATGGAGGAACCAGTAGAAAAAAAAAAAAAAATTAAAATGTGAATTTTTTTGCAAAGGCTAGAATTTGGAAGAGAGAAGGGACAGTTTGCAGGAGGGGAGATGTGTGGCTTTATGATGTGTCAATCAAAGATTTTATTTTTTGTAGGGAAATGAAGGAAGGAAAGAAAATTTATCACACGTTCTCTCTTCCTCTTGCTCTCAGTGACACTTTGTTGACTTAGTACTCAGGGAAGGGGGGTGTGGGCGGGGTGGTGCTCCTTGTACCTCCTCAGGGATGATACATTGTCATGGTTATTATTTAAGACAGTGTATCCAGTTCACTTTTCTGTCTCCTGGAACTCCCCACTCTCTTATTTACACTTTACCAGGATTATTCTTGCTCACGGAAGTTCTCAGCCAAAGTGTCAGTGAATGGCACGCTGAAGTAGTGCACTTAGAATACACAAACAAAACCCCCAAGCATATTTACTGTGGCTGTAGGTAGGGTAGGGACAGAAACACACGTCTGCTACAAACAGAATTAAATTTTGTGCTACTGTCCCCTCAATTCATCCTCCTGCGAAACACATTCTGGATAAATTCTGGCAAGATCTCTACATTTTCCTTTGAATTTAGCCAATGAGCCTTTTCACCTGATTGCTGTAAATACCTTTGAAGCTCTTCATCCAACTTCTGAGACACTTCCTTAAGATCTTTCAGCAGACTAAATGCTTTGGCACTTTCTTCTGCGTAGCTTGGCGTAACTTCTGCTAGAAGTTCCTGCGTGACACTTAAATGCTTTTGCAGCTCATCTACAACATGAGATGATGAAATTTTATTTAAAAATGGATGCAGCAGCATCACTTAATACAAGATTACTTAATAGGTGGAGTAACCACAGAGATGGAAAACTACTGTTTGGTCAGCTTTCAAACACAGCATGAGAAAACTGTGAAAGCCAAATCATTTTTAGCTGTGAGACTAATGTCAGCAAAAGGCTATTACAATGGCTAATCAAGCTCTCATTTAGAGTATGTCCAGGATTTTTTACAAGATGAACGCAAGAGAAAAAACAAGTTTTAAACATCAAAAATTCCATGGCCAGTTAAATATATTGCTACTGGCGTGTACACCCAACGTGAAATTTATCCAGTCCTTTCCTTTAGCATTCACAAGCCAAAACCACATACTTATTTCCTTTCAAGCCTTCTTACAAGAATTTTAAGTTCTTTAAAACAAACGGAAAAAAGTTTATTGAAGTGTAAGCAAGATTATTGTAAATAGTTTGAGTCTCATTTCTTGCAAACCAGCAGTTCAAAAAGTTAAGTTTTTGTCCAGACTTCATACAAAACACAAGTACATTCTGATTCAAGACACAATATATTTAAGTTCTAGTTCTACAAGAAACACGATCTACCCATGTGACTTTATCCCTCAGACACAGAAACAAGAAGAGATCACAGAATTTCTACAAGTCTACAACTTGCTTACCCATTAGGAACACAGAATGAGGAGGAATGCCATGAATACAGTTAAAAGATGCAGAAACTTGCTAAAGAAAATGTGTATGAAGACTGCCCTAGGTTATAAAGTTTTTTTTTTATCCTGCAGCAGGGAAAAAAAAATCAAACACTTATTCAAGTGCAGTTTAGTGGTTAAAAGAAGAATTATTCATAGCAAAACATGTGACTAGTGCTGCAGCCCAGTGTTCATACACAAAATACCTCCAGTGGTCCACAGATAGATCCAGCAACAACAACGTAAGAATTTTAGCATATCAAGAAAAACTACCTCTGAAAGCAAATTTGATAAATCAAATTTTCGTACCAAGGTATGTTAGCATATCCCCTTCTATGTGAATATTCTTTGTGGGTAATTCATGCCTAGTGGCATCCAGGGCATCTGCAAAGCTTTTATATTGCTCTTTAAGCTGTTCACAAACAGCAACAAGGGGAGGAAGTACTTCCATCTGAAAAAGACACACGATGAACCAACACTTCTTCAAAAGCAACCATTTTGTTCATACAGGCCTGGCTCAGTACAGAAAAACAATATATAAAAGGAAATATCCATGCATCTCTCTGAAACACGTTGACAGAAGAGTTGAAGTTTGTGGTATGATACTCCTATTGCACTGTTTAATAGGTTTGCCCCTACCACCTCAACATACCTAGGTCAATACCAGCACCCTTGTTCCTGTAGCTCAGAGCTATTAGCAACACAGCAGGCAAAGTGTTTTCTATTTCATACTCTGACTGTAGTTAATAGTGTATTCTCCAAAAGACAAGAGTATTTTTTCATTTTTGCATTGCATATTTGTTAGAAATAAGCATGGGTTCAGTTTTGAAAATTAATTATTCAAAAGATAATTATTGATTTGTAACTTGCCTTCTTACCACCAGGCCACAACTACTGCTGTCTAACATATAAAAATAAGACAAATTCAGAACAAAAGATGTTCACTTCTCATCTAAGGGTTCGTTAAGTAACTGCCAGACGTTCACGTGGATTTACGATACTCACATCTCCCACACATCAGCTGAACTGCTCTGGCAAGCGGGTGCAGTTGCTGCCCCTTGCTGAATAGCTCTAACTTCTCCTTCCTGCCTGGCCACAAGGGACACCCAAAAAAGTGACACAGGCACTTGCTTAGGTTACTAGAGAGCATTACGTGCCACAACAGGAAGAAGATACTTATTTTGGTTAAGATGCAAAAAACCATACCCAGAAGGCGAGAAATCTTCTTGGCATACAAAAATCACTTTGTTAGTGAGCTTGTTTAAATACAGGAGAAGCATCAATTGCAGTAAAGCCTACCTGTTTGTCCAGTGCATCATCAAGCGCCTGCTCTCTCTCTTTCAGCAGAATTTCCCGCTTCAACGCAATGAGCTTCTCCTGCTGTCTCTCCTTTTCTTCACACAACATTAACAAGTTTTTCTCTGCTTTTTCCTCCAGCTTGGCAAGATTTTTTCCTGCCTATTACATCCAAAAATTATTCAGAACTAAAGTACTTTTACATAATTACCATAATCAGAAGAAATAAATGTAAGCCTCCATCCAGGTCAAAAGCTGTATTTAATGAACTAACGAGAACCCAGGCAGTAAGTACAATACTTGTAATTAAAGTCCCCCACACCTCCTAATATTTTTTTAAGGGAAAAATATACATATACAGCACTGAGTGAACCAAGACCAAAGTTACTGCTACAACCTTGAACTCTAAACACTCTCAACTCAGTTTTCCCACAACTTCAGCATCCCCCTACTTCACGAAGAACCAGCACCAGCTTAATTAACTAGCACTGATTTCACTCAAAGTTCTCAAAGCAAGTCATAGTTTTACAAACATAAACATAAGCCACAAAAATCTAACTTCTATAGACCAGAGAGCATAGACAAGAAATCAAACAATTCCTCAATATCAAGTTCATCTTTGTGAAATACCAAATACTTCACCAACTCTCACCTTTATTCTTAGGTAAGTTAAAAGCATTGTCTGAGATTCCAGTTCTTGTATCACCTCATCAGGATCATTTTCTTCCTTCAGAAAAGGAAAGAATATACTAGATCAATTTTAAACAATTTATTTAAATAATTATTTTATTCAGTGTTCACATAAATCAGTGAAAGTCCAATTTGTGCCCAGATTCACCATCATGATGAAAAATTGTCATCACCATGAAAAAAATTTTTCGTTTTTAAACAATGCATGTTAATTAAATAAATCTCCGTGTTATTTGTTTCACCATTTTTGTTTTTTTTAACAACATTTACCAGTATTACAAAAATCTCCTGAGTAGAACTTGGAGTTTCAGTGCTACATTGAGTGAGATTGTTAAATAAAGCACTTCAAGTTAAGTTGAATCAATGTCAGTTCCGGGGAAGAAAAAAAAAAATCAGGAAAATATATAAAGATAATGTGATATAACTAAAGTATGGACAAGAATACAAAAAGAATCAGCTTGAGGAGATACTACAATTGGAGCAGATTCTTTACCACAAGAAATGAAAGCGAAACACTGGTCAGTGTAAAGACATTTGGTAAACAAAACAACCATTGCTAGCAGAACAGACTTATCCTCTGACTTCTGCCAGAAGGCTTTAGATCCTCCCAGGACCTCAAACGTATCATTAAGATAAACGGAAAGTCTTCATTTCACACATTTCAAAATACATACGCTTAACAAACGAAAGCAGTAAGACTCACCGCTTTTCGGGGGTTTTGTGGTGTCCTTGTATCTTCTTTGCAACCAGCTTTTGAACTAGTAGTCTTTCTGCGGACACTTGGATCTGTATCACAACAGAAAAATTATCGCTCTCTTCTACCAAAGATTATCGCGTAAGCATTTGGCTTTAAGTGACAGTTACAGAGATTGCATACAATTTTCAGAAGGGCCAATAATCTAACACCCATCTGTTGTAGGAACAAAGACTTCGGAGTACTTCGTCCTTTAATATTTTAAAAAGAACAGAGCACCCAAAAGATACTAAAACCAGAGGTTAATTTAAATGCCGAAGGTCTTAATACCTCTGCTTAAAAGACACTTAAAATAACACTCACCTTATTTAATAAAAATCCTTTTGTGAATACAGACAAATACAAGATGAATCATCAAGTTACAGCACACACGTTAAAAACAATAAAAGAAGAAATTGAGTATGAGTGAAAGTTTACCATTAATAGCAGAAAGATTAAAGTCCGGTCGAGTCATTTTATCTGCATCTAACAAAGTAGACTGCAAGTCACCTTCCTCAAAACTACTCTGAACTGATGAGTTAGGGACAACACCTGGAGAAAGAAGCTGTTATCAGACCAAAAGAATTAGAACAGATTCTACACATGTACACAGTTATATATGCTTTCACTAATACAAGGCAACCTTATGCAAACTTTTACACATTTACTTTATAAACGTTGTTCATATACTCCCTAATTTGCCTAGAGATAAGGCAGTTCAGAACGTTATCCTCTTAAACATTTCACACTTCCACACATTTCAACAATTCAGATGTGAAAAGGGAATGTTATTCTCTCAGGATTTTACAGTCAAATTAAGGTCTTACTAGAAGATTCTTCTTCAATTCTTTAAAAATAAATAAAAATTGACTGTTTTGCAGACAGGGAATTTCAGCCATTTGCACTGGGTTTATTAAAAAAGATTAAATAAAAAAGCAGGGCAGTTGTGAGGGCATAGTAAAAGAGTAGTTCAAAGCCTTGTGCAGAAAGCAAGAGGTATATTTATTTTAGACATCCCAATTACTCAGTTCCAGCGTAGTTTTCCATCAGAACGCCCAAACAAGAGTTTAATGAACTTGAGTTTATACCTCTTAATCCCACGGCATTTTTTAATTCCTCTTGTATACAGATAATTGGCAGGGATGCAAGTAATACAAAATATCATACCTTAGCAACACTCTAGAGTTGTTAAGGGCTCCACAGGTTGAAAATACAAATTCTCAAAAGAATAGCTTTTAAGTTCTGGCAAAACCTACCAGCAGAAGTTTTACATTTCTGAGGATGAACTGCTGTTGGTTTAGTCGCAGAAGATGGTTTAGCAGTAGGTGTTGAAAAGGAACTTCCTGTCATATTCTGACAATCGAGAAACAGATAAGACTGAACATAAGCAGTAATTGTGACCAGCAACGTATCTTAGCTCCAACAGGAATGCTGATGATAAACAGCTACAGTCCCAGGGCGCCACGATGCTTTACAAGTCATCTGAGTACAGCCCCAGGTTCCCATCCCAATCTGCATACATCACTCCTTCATAACCTCAGCAGACTAATTTTTTTCGCCCAGATCCCACCATCACACATCCGAGCCGCCCCTCACTGCATTTCTATCCTTTACTGAGCGACGCCTGAGTTCGGCAAAGAGGCCTCCAAGTACCTTACTGACATTCTTCTTATTGTAGTCCAGGTAGCGAGACTTCACGATTCTTCCTCCTGAAGAATGAGCGGAGACCTCAGCCGGGCCCGCCGCCGCACTTCCCGCCTCAGCGACCCACTGTGCCTCAGTCGCAGCAGGCTTCCTCCTCACCTCGCGACTACCTCTCCGCTTAACCTTGCGCACTTCTCCGTCCGCAGCACTGAAGTCGCGCGACGACATGGACATCCTGCAAAGAGAAAGCGGGAGCTAACAACAGCAGCGGACTAGGAGGCAGGAGACGGGTGGTGAGTATCTTTTGTTGCCTGTAACGTGACAAGTTATACTGAAATCTCTCTTAGCGGTGTTGTTTACTTCTTTCTCTTCCCCTCCCCCCCCCCCCCCCCCCCCCCCCCCCCCCGCCTCAGCCGCCATTCCGTTCGAATGGCCGCGCAGGCGCACCACCACCCCGCGCTCTGGGCCGCGCGCCCCCTGGCGGAGCGGAGGGACTAAACAAGCCGTCACCGCCGACCCACTCACGGTAAATACCGTGGGGGCACGGACCCCCCTCCCACCCAGGCTGCGCCTTCAGAGCACTGCCACGACCCCCTCCTCACCAGGGTAAAGCCAGAAACGAGGGCCTGGCAATGCCTACAGCACGACAAACCCCAAATGCTGTTCTTTGCCCAGACTTTTGGTGGGAGATGGCCGCTCTTTGCGGGTTTAGCTGGTGAACCT